TTTAATTTAAATAGTACTAGCCAATTGGACTGACCGCAATTTATTTCTGTCTGGATAGCAAACTATCTAGCCTATAGTATCTTTCTCTGAATTGTCCTTAATGTACCAAAATTTACTGAGTTCCGTGAAACGCAAGATTTGTCTACAAATTGTGAACAATAACTACGTAAAGTCTACAAATCCAGACGACAATGTAAACTTGTTTCCATTCTTAATTTTAATTTAATTGAAGAGAGAATGATTTTTGATAGCGATAATTATTACGCTGTACGCGTCAGTGCCAGCTGTTTTGACTATCAAACCGGGCCAAAACAGACATCCGTCACTGCACGATAAAGAGAACGCACCAACAATATATTTATCAATTATATCATTATTAATTTCAATTTCCAAGCATTTGAATATAATGTTAACAAATATGGTATATCTGGAAACAAACTAGAACAAATAAAACAAATAATTGTATGTATAGCCAACGAAGCAATGAGGAACGACAACGTGGCAGTAGTGACGTTCTATGTTGATAATTTTTAAGATTTATTTCTTTTGTCTGATTAGATGTAGAAGTCACCGGTAAAACAGTCGAATCATTTGATAAAAATGGACTTTTAAAGTCAGACAGCAAAAATGTACACATCTCTATTTGGGTGAATGGTTGCTCGTACAGCTTACAATAATGACAATAAATATAATTATAACTACAAATAAAATAGACACAACAATACCTAGTTACCTTTAACAAAAGTATTTATAAAACTGCCCCAATGCTTACGAGTCCCTACTTAAAAATTCTTCGTTACGCAAATTGCAATGCTCTCAAAAGACTAATTGCTAAGTTTTCTAAACTAACCGAAGTAGTCCACGTGGGTACAGTAACCAGTTGGTATTGTAAAAAAAATACACTTCCATATTCAGAAGTTGGTCTATGAAATTTGACATTATCAAAGATATTCCTACCTTAAAATGAGATTCCATATCACTTCCATTCTTTATATCAGTTTTTCATAATGCTTCGGAACATACTTATAACTTATGATTATTTTTGTTATGTCATTATTTCAATCTTTATAATTCTTTAATCGTTATTTTCACTGTAGTTATTTGAATTTACATCTTGAATACATTAATTTTAATCATCAACCACTATTATAAAATCTTTGACTTGTTTTGAATTTTCATTTGTATCTTCACCATCATTTCTGTCATTATTATTTATAATTTTTCTTCTAAAATCAACATGACCTTACAAACTATACTGACCTCAATAAACCACACATATCACACACAATTCCCACAAATATATGAAAAACAGTACACACGTCTCCTAGCAAACACGTTCTACCATAAAATGGACAGAAAAACAATGTTATTTTATCGAAACTGAGATTTTTTATAACCAATTGAAATTCGCGGTAACATTTTTTTGTTTTCTTACCGGCGAATGCCGCATGGACCTGCCTCAGTCTTCCTTTGCTCATGTTGATTCACTTCCAACTAACGAGTATCGTCAGTTCACGTTCAAGTAATAGTAACATTTCGGCAAATAGTTTCATTACATAAATGAATTAGAATACACAAAGATGTGTAAACAAAAGTCGCGTGTAAATATTTTATCTTATGATAAGTCTGTCATCCTTATCATTTGTGAAGCGAAAATATTCGTGTGACTCTCCATTTATATTAATTAGGGATCTCTTTAAGTCAACAATTTTGTTAAAATATTTATATTTAGATTTTTTTCTTTTAGTTTCATGTCATTTATTTTAAATTTTAATGAATTTCCATCGTGACTTTACAGTTTTTTGCTGTTTTCCTTGATAATGAAATTGTATCAAGCTTGGATGAAGCTAGAAGAATTTGACAATTATTGTACAATGGCCAGCTTCAAGCTCTTTTTTGTTTTTTAAGAGGGGAAAATCATCGAATGACTGCTCTCGCCTGGGTGAGATAACCCAGGAAACCCCCGGTAACCCGTTAGGTTCTCCTCTATGGAAACTTTTTCTTTTGCTTCCTTTCATTCAATATTAGTATTGGTTTGATCTGAATTTAAACCAATCTATGACAAGGTATCAACCTAGCTAGACAGGCATGCATTTCATACAAAATTTATTTATGGGTACCTCATGAATTGTTACAGTGACTACTGAACTAGAGGCATGTAGTACCTGAGTCCGTAAGTGTTACTGAGATAATGAGTTTTAAAGTCCATAGAAGAAACTTAATGAAACTCACCAAACTATGTATTCAGTAATGCGATGTTATACATTTTTATTACTTTATAGTTACTGCTAAAAATAAAAACTAAAGTACTTCTTTTCCTTTGTTTCAATAGGCCTTCTGGTCAACGCAAAGTAATATCAGAAGTGCAATTCAATTTTATAATTATAACGTTTTAAGAACGGGTGTCCAACCCATATGATCCATGCATTTCATTACGCCTGTCGTCTTGAGTAAAATATACCGAATTTAATTTTGTGTAAGATTTTTAAAAGACTTCAAGAAGAAAAGAACATTTTCTCAGTTTAACTTGTATTTATGTATGTATTTGTGATCGTGCGCGATTGCCTCGCGATTGGCTAAACCGAATGTTATGCAGATTCGGAAAGGTAGTTTATAAAAAAATTATATTTAGTCTACTTGTATGCCTAATTTATCATTCTTGAATTCTTTTCTCAGTCGCAAAGCTGTCAGACTGCATTTATCTTTTTTGCCATTATACATAAAATTATTTAATATTGTTTTCATTTTATTTTGATTGCTATTTCTCAGGGTTTCCGCTACTATTTATTTATTTTATATTCATGCCACAAAATCACATGGACGGACTTAATGCCTAACGTACTCTCATCAGTCAACCATTTGGTTCTGTCTTGTCTGCATCAGCAGAGAATGATGATTTTTGTTTCGTACTTCTTCTGTCATCATAATTCATGTTTTACCAACATACATTAAATTAACCAAAAATCACGGATTACTCATAAAAAAAAACTGAGAAAAGCTACGCTAGTTTCGAACCACAGAGGGGTTCTTCCTCATGAGCAGCGTGCATGGTATCGGCGATGTCGCGCAGTCTACGTAGCCAGGTAGGCTGCGCAACATTGCCGTGACCGCCGGAAACAAGTAGAGTTTTTCAAAGTATTTTTACGTGAATAATTTGCGATTTATAGTTAAACTGTCAAACACCAAGCGGTCACCGGTGACCGCAACTTATTGTTCTATAATTGTGTCTACAAAACCGGTACTCGACGAGTTTAGTCTTACAATAGATATTGTAAAAACATACACTAAATATTATAGTAATAGTGAAATTTGGCCTGTGGTTTTTCTCCATATATCTCTGTCAAATGTCGTAGTAACAAGTTACAGGTAAGTAAGTCTGATGGGCAAGATACAGTAGCTACTTATGCGTGAATCAGTTTTATTTGAATAACAGCTATCAACAGTCTTATGTGAGCTTTGACGGCATATAATTTTACTGTTTGTTTATGTTTGCCGTCATACCTACTCGACCTATTGTTAATATTTTCAAATGACATTTCCACGACAATTTTTTATGTAATGCATAAGCCCACAATTTATATATGGCATACGCCGGCAAACGAGCAGACGGTTCACCTGATGGTAAGCTATCGGCGCCACCCATGGAAACCCGAAACACCGGAGGCGTTTTTTTTTATGGAATAGGAGGCAATGGAGCAGACGGATCACCTGATGGTAAGCGATCAGCGCCGCCCATGGACACCCGCAACACTAGAGGAGTTACAGGTGTGTTGCCGGTCTTTTAAAAAGGAATACGCTCTTTTCTTAAAGGTTTGAAGGTCGCATCAGTTCGGAAATACCGCCGACGACAGATCATTCCACAGTTTTGCTGTACGAGGCAGAAAGCTACGTCAGAAGCGCACAGTTGTGGCCTGCTAACCGTCTATATGGTGGGGATGCATATTCTGTCGTGAAAGTCGATGGTGAAAAGATGCGGCAGGTATCAGGTCAAACATGGCCTCAGAGCTGAATTGTTAGGGATACGGGGAATGTACGGTTTACCAGCTATTTGGGTCGAGTTTTGACAAACCAAAAATTTAAATTCATGATAAACTGTAAAGCGTGACGTTTTAGGAATTTAATTTAACAAAATTAGTGCAGAGGGTTCAATTCGACTCTGTTTTTCGTTTAACGAGATCGAATATTACCGCATTCTCTGCAATCAGAGCTCTGATTGGGCTGCTTCAATTGACCAACCAATCGGTACGAACGCGGTAAAATAAACTTATACTAAGCCCTTTGAATTAAAAAAAAATAGTACGCTGAAGACTAAAACTGAATCAGAGACACAAATTAAAGGAATTGATCTAATGAATAATAACCAACTGTGTGACGACAGACAACGCATTACAAAAATAAGAAAAATAAATTAAACATTTGTAAATAACGAGTAAATTGTTATTTATTGATCAGATCACCTTATTCTAAGAACTTAAACAATAGTTAATCTAAATAGTTGACTTAATTCACAAATATTACGTTGATATCGATAAAAGTGTTCCGCAAGGAAGCATACTGGGTCCGATACTAAAAAAAATATATAAAATTATTCTTATAATCTATGGATTATAGTTAGAGTATTATATAAAATTTTATGACTACTTAAAATTATGTTCCTATATAAAATCAAAATTAAATTGATTAATACAGTATTGTCGTCTTGAGCTGGAGCAACTAACTATTTTATTCCTTAGGCAAAAACTACAGAGCATCAGTACGATTTTTTGGACAAAGGTATGAGTTAATTTGTACATAGGATGAGACAATGTATCAATGAGATTGTGAAACACATTTTTAAAAAGGGATACATTGGAATTTCTTGCTCATTCTTCTGTATTCGAAACTACACATTGTAACGAACGCCTAGCTTCACTGAGAGACGTCACGGACGAAAAATTCAATTTTTGATGTTTTAAAAATGCCTAATGAAGGATTAATTGAAATAAATGCTTCGACTTTGACATACATACAAACATAGATAACCTCACGCCTGTCTCCCATGGGGGTGGGCAGAGCAAGTTTTTTTTTATTAATCAAATCTACCTAAATTAGGAATAATTCTGGTAACACATTTATTCTGCCCCCCCCCCCCCCCAAAATAAGGGTTGGTTAACGGACCACTAGCGCAATAGTTGCATTTTCATCGATTTTCTTTGTTCCAGCGAATGGTTATGAATTTTAATTCCTATTTAATATGCATGCAGCCCGGCTTTACATTTTTTAGTTGTAAATTTTTTTTGCGAGAGGTCATTTAGAATATTTTTGATAACGTTCAAAATACTAAGTGAGTATTGTAAGATTTTGCAACGATTTTTTTAGAGAGGTTTTAGACACATTTTTCATTGAAAATATTTGCCTATTGAAAAATTTCACAAACAAAAAATATTACAAATCCTGTTGTAGTATCAGGATCTTTATTCTAAAAAAAGTGATGAACGAATATTATTATTACAAGCATTATTTTCAAAGACGACCGTTACTATCACTGTAAGTATCCCAGAGTCTCCACGTGATTGCAATTTTTTTCTAGTATCACAATGACAAACATATTTAGTTCCTAAAAAAACTCATTACATTTTCTTCTTTAAACCAAATGCCTACCTTATCATGATATTTTAATATTTGTTAAACATTATCTATAACATGTGCTTTAAGAAAATCAACCTTATCATAGTAGAAATTGTTTAACTGAAATAAAAAGTTCCTTGCACTCACATTCGAGTTGATACTTTATTTATGAGTGATCGAAAACTCAGGAAACATAAATTTTATACAAAGCTACTGTGTTAAGTTTGTCCCTTGCACTTGGTGCAAAATTTTGTTGATCTTAACATTTTTACAAACTATTATAAAGGTTTTTAGTTTCTTTAAAAAAACATAAAATTTATTTATTACCAACAGACCACATCCCCAAAAATTCGGTTTGAAAACGCATACATATAAAAATTTCTTTTAAATAAACATAAAACATATTTTTATGTATAAATTTAAAATAAGGTTATTTTGTGCACAATTTTGGACCCCGCGAACATTATTTCGCTCTGACAATTTTCTGCGCCTCTTTGTTATTTTTTCGTACATAGGAACATTCCCCTAACAATAACATACCCAAAAAAATAAGAATCAGCGAAATCGGTTCAGCTGTTCTCGAGATTTACGCTTAGCAAAACAGTCAGCGATTCATTTTTATATTATTTATAGAAGATATATCTAATAGAACCATAATAGCTACAAGATAAAACCGACATAAATGTTGAAGATCAACTACATTGAGTACAATTAATTAGTCTTTTATCAAGCATCAATTTTCCTCTTAGTTTTCTTAACAAATAAAGCTTGGATGGCATCTATTGACAGTCCTTTGGTCTCAGGAAGATAGAAGACACAGTAAGTAGCCCCAACGAATCCAACAACTGAGAAGGCGTAGAATAGAGGGGCGAATCCAACTTCTTCAACGACTGGAGTGAAGATGAGGACTGTGACGAAGTTCATGGCCCAGCCACAAGTCATCACGATGCCACCACATAGTCCTCGTACCTGGAAAAATGGAGAATGTTAAAAAGGTTCAATATTTGTTGCAATTCATCCAATAGATGTTGTAAAACTAGTAACATACGAAAGAGAGGCTCCAACAAAAAACAGCCTTAAGTTCATTTTGCAAATACGAATTCTATCTCTAATAGCTGATGATATGATTTAGAAAATACCCGTATTAATTTTCTACTTAGAAAAACCTGTAGCTAAAGAAATAAATGAAGATTTTTCTTAAAATGAATAAGTAACCTATTGAGATACTGTAAGTACTTTCAAGCAAACTGTAATCTGATTGGCACGATAATCTATAGACCTGCTATCTGCAAAATGTTTTAAAATTGATTTCGCATTTCTTAAGAAGGTAATATATAGGTACAGCACTTACTTCAGGCAAGAACAGCTCAGCACTCAACACAAATGGAATAACAGCGACTCCAAAGTTGAAGATGAAGCTGTACACGTAGATGATGAGAGCAGTGAACCAGTGCGGAGCCCAGTGCCATTGGATTTGCGTACCAAGCAGCATTGTGCAGACACTGGCGAGCACTGATGTACTGATCATCAAGGGCTAGAAGAAACAGTTCGTGTTTATGCGAGCCTGGTATCTCTAAGATTTATACATCGTGAATTTGGTGAATAAATAATAATAAAAAGCTAAGCTGGTTTATTTTGGAATTTGATGATAATGCGTATGGGAGAGCTATACTTCGGCACAAATGGACCGGCTCGACCGGAGTGATACCACAGCCTCAGAAAAAACCGACATGAAACAAGGCTTGTGTTGTGTTTCATCGTGTGAGTGATATAACCGGAGGCCCAATTACCCTCCCTACCCAGTTTTCTCTATCCCCGAATCCCCCACAATCCTAAAATTCCCAATTCCTAAAAGGCCAGTAACACACTTGTAACGGCTCTGGTGTTTCAAGTGACCGCGGGCGGCGCCGATTGCTTAACATCAAGTGATCTGTTTGCTCCTTTAGCGGCTTATCCCATAAAACAAAAACGAAATTCTCAGTAATGTTACTGGTGAAAAGATAATCTTATAAGATATTCAAAGATTAAAAGACATGCGTTTGGTACAATTCCGTAAAGGAATTACGAATGTTTTTTTTTTTATATGAGAAAGGCCGGCAAACGAGCAGACATATCATTTGACGGTAAGCAATCGGCACCGCTCATTGGATTCATAACACCAGGGGAGTTTTAAGTGCGCTACCGGTCTTTTGGGGACTATACAAAAACTCACATAAAAATTTGATCTATTATGGTAATACACCATCGTAACACAGACCAAGCTGATATATTAGTGATGATACCAAAGTCGTGGTGTACATAACAATATTCCTAGACAACCCCATAAAACTTAAAACCAAAATATTATCCAGACTCACCTTCCTCCCAAATTTATCAATAGTAAATGTGCACAGTACGCTCGCTAGCAACAGATCTATCGCTAAGAAGATAGAACATTGGTTTGAGTCCATTGACGGCACTGCTTCCCTGAACAAGGTCTCTGCGTATACTTGAAACGCAATGTTCCCCATCAATATCATTGTTGCCATACATGCTAGGCTTGTCATTAGTGCTCGGATTGAAGTTTGTGATTGTTCTGTAGAAGAAAAAAAGAAAATTGTAGTTAGTGTCTATATAAATAAAAATGAAGATCTGTTCGTTAGTCCCGCTGAAACTCAAAAACGGCTGAACCGGTTTGGATAATTTTGGTTTTGAAATGTTCGTGGAAGTCCAGGGAAGGTTCAAAGGTGAAAAAAAAATTAAGGAGACGAAACGAAGATGTTATTTATAATCATCTAAAGTCTCAAAGGACTGTGAAAAGTATAACAGTCGATCAATATACGAAAGATTGATAATCAGCTGAATCTGGTCCAGTGGCGATTGCACTTTTCATCTCAGGGTTTGGTCAAAAAAGGATGTATCTATCCACATTATGTCTAAATTAAATGACATCAGTGAAAGCTGGACTGATCAAAAACAATTTTGGTAGCTGAACCAGCAACTTCGTCTGCGTTTTTCTAAAATAAACGTAGCCGCCTTAGTTCCTCCTTACTCCTTAGTACATTAGCAAATTACCAATAAAAGTTACATCACAATCGGTCCAGCCATTTCAGAGATAAGCCTGTATAAACAGATAGATAGACGAAATTTGTACAAAAAATATTTTGGTGTACCTATGTGTCATATGCATGTAAATAAAAAGCGGTTATTGCAATGTATTTTACAAATAGACACACATATTTCATTCATTTGTATAGATTATTGATCTCTAAAAAAATTGTTTCTGGTCTGTACAAAATTAAGACCATCAAGTTATATAAAATCAATGAATTATAACTATATCAATTTAACTGAAGGAGAAAGAATTATATCCAACCGCCATGAAATCAATTCAAGTATCTAAGACTTCGAGGATACTTTACAACTCAGTATTTATTAAATATTTCGATGTCACTATCTAACAAGTTATTAGACCCAGGTCGTGTTCTGTTCAGCCCACGATGTTATCGGTACACGAGAGGAAGATGCACCCTATTCCAATGATGTTAAAGTCTACATTGTATTATTACTTTTCAAGATTCTATTTTTTAAGGATTTTGTTAATCATCCAACAAGTCAGATTTTATTCATTCATTCATTTTAATTTTTAAGTTAATTTTGAATATATATTCCTCTAACTGGGGTTTGTTTCAAAATTCTCAGTAGTAGCTCAGAGTTCGGAATTGTGCCCGGTATATGGCAGTATGGCCCACTATATAGGACTCATAAGACAAATAGGGAAAAGCGGGTTTTACATTGTGTCGTGGCATTACAAGCCGCAATGTGCACCTCTGCCTACTCCTTCTGGGATAAAAGGGGTGATGTTATGTATGTATTTTAAAATAGTTAAAATAATATAAAAACTCACTTAAGAACTGCCATTCTGACAACTTTTTCACCGGCGGTGTAGAGTTAATCAGCTCTTTGGTAATCGCTGGATCTAAAAAAAAACAAGAAGTATTGTCAGGTGCCCTTATAATAAACTAGCGTATTGTGCATATAATGTATTATGCATTAGAGAGCCATCTGCTTCTGAACCATCAAAAATTCAGATTGCGAACTCTAAAGAAAAGATTAAGCTGTGCATATTAAGTAGTAACAAATACAACAGATCTTTATCCTCCATAGAAGAAGTATTTTCGGAACGTTTCGACTTCTGTAACTACATAATGCCTAACAGTACGATAAAGCAATTACTAAGCGGCATTGATGAAAAATTAAAGAAGTTCACGCTAAATGATTACTGTCTTATCTTCATTGGTGAAAATCATATAACTTCGAATCAAAACTACTACATTAACACTATAAAGTTAATAAATGAGTCCCTTAGCAAAATTACGCACACAAACGTAGTAATTTGTCTTCCTACGTATAGGGCAGGATTGCTTATACACAACTTCAGAGTTGAGATGTTCAACAACCTCCTTCATCTAGACAACCAAAACCATAAATACGCCTATATCTTCGACAGTAATCTCAATCTAACACTTGACATGTTTTCTTACACTACGGGTAGAATCAATAAATATGGGATGAAAAATATTTATGATAATATTATGAGTAACATTCAGATCGATCTACACCTATATTATAAGACAAATAGATTGACAAACAGCAACAGCAGGCAAGACTGTGACGGGGATTTAACGAGTCCCACTGAAGATAAATTCAATTCAAGCCTGCAAGAAAACCCTAACTTTTTTCGTTTATAATAGTATACATATCCTTCATCAAAATATTGCTGGACTCCTAAATAAAAGCGATACGCTTACTGTATATCTGGAGGAACTAGAAAATAATAGAAAACAAATCGACATTATATGCATAACTGAACATTTCATGACACCTGAACAAGAAGGAATAGTTAATATTCTAAATTACAGCTTAGCAACAAGTTTCTCCAGACATAATAGAAGAGGTGGCGCGTGTATCTTAACCAGGTATGGCCACAAATTTAAAGTATTAAACCTACAAAAATATTCTTTAATCAACGTAATTGAATGCTGCGCTATTGAATTGATAGAACATAACATTATTATTGTTTGTATATATAGGATACCCCAATCTAATATGGATAAATTTTTTGAAAACTTGAATAATATTCTTCATTTTCTATGTTTAAAGTTAAATAACAAAAAGATTGTATTGTGTGGGGACTTTAATATTAACATAATGAAAAGGAATAAACAAACTTTAGATTTTGAGTATGCATTGTTAAATTACAATCTAAAATTACAATTTTTTCAACCCACTAGGTTAAGCAGTGGAACCTGCTTAGACAATATAGCGCACAATATAAATGCTTGTAAAGGAGAAATTATAGAATTGGGCTTGTCAGATCATACCGCACAGCTATTGAAATGTCCTGTTAAAAAAACGTGCGTCTTAAAACGTTGGAAAATTAAAAGACGGAATTATTGTCAAGATAATGTAAACAAATTTAGAAATTGCATTAAATGTCTCAGTTTTTCGGATATATATACAAATAGTGACGTCAATGAGGCCTACACCCGTTTCATTGACTTATTTAAATGTTTTTATGATCTTTGCTTTCCCTATGAAATAATAACAAACTCGATCACTAAAAAAGCTAATTGGATCACTAAAGGAATAAGAACATGCAGTAAAAAGAAACGGCAGTTGCTATGGCGATATAGAATGAATCCTACTCGAAGTAATCGGAAATTGTTTAAGACCTATTCTGCTAGGTTCAAAAAAGTTATGACGCTAACACAAACATCACGAAATAACTACTTTATCAAGACATCTCAAAATAAATCCAAAGCGGCATGGACTGTAATCAATAACTCTAAGACCAGTTTCCCTAAAGAACCAATAACACAGATTCGAACAGAAACACACACGTTGACGAACTCAACAAAAATTGCTCAGGCTTTCAACAGGTTTTATATTAATCAAGTTTCCATACAAAAAAATAAAACTATGCCAGAAATTAAAATCAGCTCAAATACATCAAACTCTCTGTATATGTGGCCAACAACACCCCAAGATATAAATGGCCATATTGCGTCACTCCGAAACACGAATAGCGTTGGTTATGACGGAATATGTACCAAAGTTATCAAAGAAATATCACGATACATAGCTCCACATCTCAGTCATATTATAAATATGAGTATTTCTAACGGAATTTTCCCTGACCAATTAAAAACGTCGGTAATCATACCATTGCATAAAAAGAATGATAGGCAAAATATGTCAAATTATAGGCCTATCGCATTGATACCAGTCTTTTCAAAAATATTTGAGAAAGTCATTTACAAATCATTGTATAGCTACCTTGAGAAGTCAAATATATTAGTTAAGCAACAAAAAGGATTTCGCAAACAAAAGACAATAAACATGGCAATACATGACTTGCTTCTCCCCATTTTATCAAATATGGATAGCAGAAAACCTGTATGCGCTATCTTTACGGATCTAACAAAAGCCTTTGATTATGTAGATTATTCCGTACTCTTATACAAACTAGAAAGATATGGTATCAGAGGTAATGTATTAGAACTCTTTCGGTCTTACTTGACGAATAGAAGACAATTTGTAGAAATCACACAAATATGTTCAAAAACTTGTTGCGAGAATAAATATAAATCCGAAAGCGAGATAATTAAATACGGCGTTCCTCAGGGTAGCGTGCTGGGACCCCTTCTTTTTTTGGTTTATATTAATGACCTTCCGGAACAAATAAATCACCCTATGGTGCTTTTTGCCGATGATAGTACCGTAGTCATTGAGTGTGACAATCCCAATACTTATGGAAATGAAATAAATATGACATTGAATAAAATGATATCATGGTTTGATAAAAATAATCTAAAAATAAACTTAGAAAAGACTAAAATTATGCATTTTTATCAAAGGATCCCAAACAATAATCTAAATATTAACTATTTGGGGACAACAATTGAACCGGTAACAACTATTAAATTTCTTGGTATTAATATTGACAACAATTTGACTTGGCGATCCCAGACAGACGAAGTATGTAAAAAATTAAACAAATTTACTTATGTTCTCTATAAACTATCAAAAATTGTAAACTTAGAATCCGTCCTGGCAGCCTATCACGGGTATGTTGTATCAGTACTCAGATATGGCGTAATATATTGGGGTAATTCAGTAGATAGGGAATCCGTATTTAGAGCACAAAAACGATGTGTCAGAGCGATGTGTGGCCTTAACATCAAGGAAAGCTGTCAACCGTTTTTTATTCGCCTAAAAATTCTTACCTTGCCATCGTTATACATATACGAAACTAATGTGTTTGTCAAAACTAATCTCTCACTATATAAAATAGCCACTAAAAGCTACTACAGAAAATTACGCGACAAAAATAAGTCAGAACTTGAAGTAACTCATGGAAAAACTGCGTTAATGAATAAGAGTATCCTCAGTATGGCCCAAAAAATATTTAACAAACTACCTGAGACAATAAAGACGTTAAACTTAGACAATTTCAAAAAAGAACTATTGAAAATTTTGATAAATAAGTGCTATTACTCAGTAAAGGCTTATTTGGACGACAATTCTATAATTACTGCCTCAGACAATAGCGCACAACCCCATTTGTTTTGATTTTTTGAATTTTGTTTGACATTGGCCTATATGACATGTAACTTTTTTTTGACATTTTATTGAATTAATTCTATTTTATTTGTGATGATATGTATATGCGAATTAATATCTGTTAATGTTATATTTAACGCTAAATAATATGACACGAAAATTAATCTCTCTAGACAATTTGTTAAATCTTGTTAATATTGGCATTACTTAAGACTTATGACTTATTTGATGATCCTAATTTTATTTATGCATTAGTATTGTATGACATGTTACTTAATCGGTTTCAATTTAATTTGCAATTACAAGTGTCAATTAATTTTTGAATGATGACAATGTTAAATAATTTTAATTATATGCAATATTTGTACGCCTCTGGGCAAAACATGGAGAATCTTCCTACCTGTAACACCTCACATACCTATGTTTACAAATAAAAATATTCTGATTCTGATTCTGATTCATATAAACCTCCCTTAAGAATCACTCTATCTATTAAAAAAACCGCATCAAAATCCATTGCTTAGTTCTAAAGATCTAAGCAAACGTACAGATAGATGACGGATAGGGACTTTGTTTTGTACTATGTAGTGATATTTGAAAGTTAAAGATTGCGGTACGATAGACTACCTCGTTAGCCGAGTGGTCACAAGTGCGACTCTCGAGTCTCGTGTTTAAATCTCGGGCCGGGCAAAGTAATGGGGTTTTAACTCGTCGAGTACCGTCATTATAGACACAATTATAGAACAATAGGTTGCGGTCACCGGCGACCGCTTGGTGTTTGACAGTTTAAAAAAAATCTCAGTAGTAGCACGGAGTGTGGAATTGTGCCCGGTTTATGGCAATAGGATCACCCTCTACTACTTGGGACTCATAACGTAAATAGAGAAAAGTGAGTGTTAAATTGTACAGTGCCTTGTGAAATAAAAGGCTTATAAAATAAAAAAGTATAAAAAAATATAAAAGGATTACGATAGAAAAGCTCTAAAACCTAGTTGGCTGTTAATGAAATTCTCTTTAGACAGTTGAGTAAACAAAAAAATCTACGAAACACAGATTTAGTGTAAATTTTGACATAATTTAACGTTTTTAGTACCACTCTCATACATTCATTTGTCACAATAATAAACAAATAACAGATACTTCATAACTTGTGAAGTTTTCCTCGAAAATTCCCATACAGTGATGCAATAACAATCATCGAAGGTGTGCCTTCACCTCCCATTTTCCTAACATGTCTAAACAAATGAAATCAAATGCATTTGACAAACTACACATGCAAATATCAACTTTATAATGTCAATGTAACAAAAGCCATTTTCAATTAATGTCTATTATGAAGGTATGTCACCAAATTCTATTTGCTTTATTCTATTGTGTTCTTAAATACATACAATTATGGGTTGTTGACGTCACGGAAATAGAAAATCTAAGTCAATAATGATGATCATTCAGATATATTTCATTACCTATACCGTATGTACTGATTGTCTTAAACAAAGGATCTACGGGTTCGAATACCTAACCGAGCAAATTACGATAGACCAAACAGGAGCAAAGACGTCGGAAATTATATGCGATTTACGTTGATATAAGAAAATATGAAAAGACTCTATTAGAAAATATATAAGACAAAATTTTGCATCTCTAGGGGCGCTAATGTGGTGGAACACACAGTAGGGGAATGGGCTGCTTGGGCTGAGCACCGCCGTGCCCTCAGGGACGTGACCGGCGACGGCGACCTCTCGCGTCCGGTCCTAGTGCGGGTCATTGCTAAGTTGGAGGCGGGGTGCATAAGGCAGCGAAGCGCTGCCTTTCACAACCCAGCCGTCGCGAAGGACACTCCGGGCATCGGGGATCGCGGGACGATCTCCGGCCACTGTAAGCGCAGGCCTGCATACGGCGAGCACGGGCGAGCATCAGACCACTACGGATGAGTCTGATGATACTCTTGGGCCCAAAAAGGCTGATGCCGATACGGAGCCGCGGAGAACTTAACGGGTTACCGAGGCTACGGCTCGAAGTGCAGGAGTAGGAACGGGGTGGTTTTTAGTCAGTAAGAATTTGACACTCCCTCCCGCCTCACCCGGGCAGGAGAAGTCATTCGATGATTTTCACCACTTAAAAAACAGGGGCGCTAATGTAGCTTTAAGTCTATTATGCTCGAATGCTGGAACGCTACTCGGTTTAAGTCGCGCTTAAGTACATAGGTATAGTTCTGTCACTACAAATTCTTTGTAAAATGACAGAGATGACATGATATTTGAGTACAACTTTAAATTGAGGACCCTTTTTTCATGGCAAAAGCCGGTAAACGAGCAGACGGATCACCTGATGGTAAGCAATCGGCGCCGCCCATGGACACCTGAAACACCAAGGCATTACAAATGTGTTACCGGCATTTTGGGACTTGGGAATTTGAGGATTGTGGAGGATTCGGGGATAGGGGAGACTGGGGATGGGGGTAATTGGGCCTCTGGTAACCTCACTCACACGACGAAACACAACGCAAGCGTTGTTTCACATCGGTTTTCTGTGAGGCCGGTGGTATTAATCCGGTCGAGCCGGCCCATTCGATATAATACTTGCTTATGTCAAGTCAATATTCAAATAATTTATGGCAGCTTCGCTTGAACTAATATAACTTGCGACATATCAATGCTATTTTAAACCCTTACTAAAATCACTACGATGAACGTCACAATTATAATTTTTACAAGTACTACAATAAAGTTTCCACGAGTTATCAATGGTATTAACTAGACATGACTTATGACGTCAACGAAGGGGACAGACTGCTTGTCTTATCATTATTAGTTTTAATTAACATGTGACAAATCCCATCTCAATTATGCATCATTACTATTATCATGATGATGATGATATATACGTATATAATAATATAAGTTTATAAAATAAGCCTTTACACTGAAAACTAGACATTAAACTGTCAAACACCAAGCGGTCACCGGTGACCGCAACCTATTTTTCTATAATTGTGCCTACAAAACCGGTACTCGACGAGTTAACATTAATTTAACTTATAAACTAACACATCAGTTACTGTTATCCTAATTAGTGACCATCGTGTTTATATTATAACTTTCGTGGGACATACTAAATTAATCATTATGTTTTAGGCTTATTCGCGTAACTGTGTCTACACCACCGCGGAGCCAAGAAGCCAGTTAGCAGTACGACAGGCGCCGCGTCGCGGGTCGCGGGATGCTGCTCATGAATATGAGCCTCTAGCATGGCTTGAAACTAGTCAAGTTCCTCGACAAACAGTTTTGTAAATAAGCCGAAAACATAATAATTAAGTCAGTGACCAGCGTGTCCTATGACACATAGGCTTCTGTTAATATACCATTGCTGAACAAAGGCCTCTTTTCGCTCGCAGAAGCAATGAACATTAATCACCACACTGGCTCAAAGCACATTGGCAGTTTCAAACTCTAGATCTACCATACATTGGTGTGCATGAAAGTGGTCTTTCATGTTCCTATTTCTGTAAAATTTATTTTCTGTGTCTGTAAATTCTTTCTTCCTCGGGGGCTAATTTTTATAAATGGGCCGATATGAAGTGATACCACGGCCGAGCAGAAAACCGAAGTGAAACAACCGAAGTCTTGTGTTTCGTCGTGTGAGGGGGGTTATCGGAGGCCCAATTACAAGGTATACCTAGTATAGTGTTTGATCATTATAAGAATTTTGTACAAAGTGCATCTTCATAAACACTTCTATAACCACAACGGCACGAACAACAAACGTGTTTTCCAACAAGGAGTCGCAATTTTCACTATCATTTAATACAAATAATTGCAGACTTATTTAACTTTATGATAATGGAACACAAACATAAGCTAAAAATATCAAATACGTTCTCCTTGTGATTCGAACAAATAGTTAAACAAATCCTTCTTGCATCATATAGGAGTTCCGACGTAACCTGAGACAGACGTTCGAGTCTGTATTAGTGTGTATCTTTGCTTTATACATATTTTACTGCCTCATTCACCGAGTGTTCACAAGTACGACTGGGTTTTTAAAAAAAAATCTCAGTAGTAGCACGGAGTCTAGAATTGTGCCCGGTATATAGCAATAGGCTCACCCCCTATTACATGGAACTCATAACATCAATAGTGAAATCTGGGTGTTACATTGTACTGCATTAAGTGCCGTAATATGCACCTATGCCTACCCCTTCGGGGATAAAAGGCGTGATGTTATGTTATGTGTTGTGTTATCTTATGTCCTCCCGGAATAAAGGGGATGATGTTATGCTTTACCTCTATTTTACAGATAACCAACATGACTCGTGACGTAACCAGGGAGACATATTTGTGAGGATAGAAAAATATAAAATGACTCAGGAGTATCAGAGTCCTATAAATTGACTAATAACCACCTCGTTCTTAATCATGCCCCATACCGGGGCCGCGGTATAAGAGACATTTCCATGACACCGGCAGAATATGTCCAAATTAGAAATAATGCTTCAAATATTAAAAAACATGCTTATTTATACAGACTGCCTCTTTGGCCGAGTGGTCGCAAGTGCGACTGCCGGGCAAGGGGTCTCGGGTTCGATTCCCGGGTCGGGCAAAATATTACTGGGTTTTTAAAATAACTCTCAGTAGTAGCACGGAGTCTGGAATTGTGCCCGGTATATGGCAATAGGCTCACCCCCAATTACATGGGACTCATAACATAAATAGTGAAAAGTGGATGTTACATTGTACAGTGACATAATGCACACCTCTGCCTACCCCTTCGGGGATAAAAGGCGTGATGTTATGTTATGTTATGTTATGTTATGTTATGTTATGTTATGTTATGTTATGTTATGTTATGTTATGTTATGTTATGTTATGTTATGTTATGCTATTTATACAGATCTCGCTTTCCAATTTTATTTTATGATACTACTACATGACTCTAAACTCTATAAGTCTTTGTTAAATCTGGAATTGTGCTGTATTTTAAGCAATTACAATGAGATTACAGTATAAACAGACACCTGGTTTTGGTAAGAATTGAGTCTGACTGAACATACACTTACATATCTTTCTTCTTTCGATTGCGTTTTTTTTTTTATACCAAGCATAATTGCGTAAAAGTTATTTTACCTGCGTCTCCTTCTAATATCTTCTCCAGTCTCGGGTCTAATAGAAGTTTAATTTTAGATATTTCAACTTCTACTTCTTTGGATGTCGATTTTACTTGGCGGTAGAATGCTATAGACTCAGCTGCTTCCTGGAATATTGTAGAGTAGTATTATTAACTTCGTGTTTTATTGGTACAGAAGAATTGATAGTTAATGGGTTTATAAAAACTTCTCAGTAGTAGCATGGAATCTGGAATGGGGATGATGACAGGGTATGAAAATTAAAAATATAATTAGTCCGTAACTTAGGTAATAAAAAAATATTAGACACGTATTTTTTTATTTTGTTGTATAATAAAACAATACTTAGATAAAACGAATCAAAGTTTAGGAGTGGGGGCTAAAACGTCATTTCTTAGTATAAAATGTACTGAGAAGTGACGTCACGCGACATTTCAAATCAATATATCTTCGAAACTATTCGTTTCCGTAAGAAAATAAAAAATACGTGTCTAATGTTTTTAAATAATCTACCAGACGGACATTAAAATAAAAATTAGTCATCTACCCCATTGTGCCCGGCATATGGCAATAGGCTCACTCACTATTACATGGGACTCATAACATAAATGGTGAAAAGTGGGTGTTACATTGTACAGTAGCATTAAGTGCTGTAATGCACCTCTGCTTAACCCTTATCTAGCCAAGGACTAAGGGGAGGCCCTTATCTAGCCAAGGACTAAGGGGAGGCCCTTATCTAGTCAAGGACTAAGGGAATGCCTATATCCGGTTGTAAACGTCTTCCAGTTTATAAGAATGACGATAATGATATTATTTTTACTACTGCAATGGTTTGATCTCCAGGCAAAGTTCAATTAATATACCTAGTTTAAAGTCTGAAATTACATAATAGGAGTATATATATTTCTTTGATATGCTGTTGTATAATAACAAACGTGTTTTTAATTTACTCTTCTTATCATTTTAATTAGAATGACTGTTAACTAGAGATATTGCAAACAAGTGCAAGATACAGACTAGTACCGCCATCTCTTACATTTCGCCTGCACTAATAACATATCGTATGTCGTGGTGGCCCGGAGGTTAAGACGCCCGCTTCCAATGCATGAGGGTGCGGTTTCGAAACCTACCAATGACAAGGACCAATGTGACTTTTTCCGAGTTATGTGTACTTTCTAAGATTATTTAACACCACTGACATACGGTGAAGGAAAACATCGTGAAGAAACCTGGACTTATCATTACATAGTATAAAACAAAGCCGCAATCCGCCGTCTGTCTGTCCCTATGTATGCTTAGATCTTTGAAACTACGCAACCGATTTTGATGCGTTTTTTTTAAATTGATAGAGTGATTCTTAAGGAAGGTTTATATACATAATACATGCATATTGCACACATGCAAAGCCGGGGCGGGTCGCTAGTAATTTATAATTATAAGTTTGAAATTGTCAACCCGCAATGAGCATGCGTGGTGGTTAATGCTCAAACCTTCTCCGTGTGAGAAGAGGCTTTGCTCAGCAGTGGACATTTATAGGCTGCTGATGATGCTGATGAAGCTTTGAAAGGAGTTTCATCCAGTCTGTTTAACAATTTATAGGGCACGATTGATAATACTGCATGATAACGTCATTGATAGACAATTTATTCGTATTGTGAACAATTAATTAATTATTTATTACTCATTCGTTACACATTATTATTTATTAATATTGTTATTTATTACTTTACTTCGATACTTTCGATATTCGTATCTTTCTTTCTTATAAGTGCAGTTTGTACCACACAATAGGGGCCACACTTATAGCTGTTGAGAGTCAATTTGTTGTAAACCTCATATGGGTACCAATTATTTTCTTACTAGCGACCCGCCCCAGCTTCGCACTTCGTAGCAATACGCAGCTTCGTATTATACATATAAACTTTCCTTAAGAATCTCCTTATTAAAAAAAAACCTCATCAAAATCCGTTGCGTAGTTTTAAAGATCTAAGCATACATAGAGATAGACAGACGGTGAATAGCGACTTTGTTTTATACTATGTAGTGATGATAAAACATTGCCTCACACTAAGATTTTCCTTTGTATCGTGTGTGCATTTACAAACACATATACATGTAAATCACATACACATGCGACATCCAAACCCGAAACTACAAAGCGATGTTCCGTACGGTGCAATCGAACCAACCATGCAGTCAAATATTTTAACGTTGTTTCATCATTGAGAATAGCAAAATATGAAAAAATTAAAATAAAATACTTAGTAAAGATTAGGTAACATTTACGAGAGGATCATAGGACATTTTGAATCCTGATATTCTTACAAAATTGGCATTGAGAACTTCAAACAACCTAAATCACACGTAGAATCCTCTTTACTAATAACAAACGATAAGCAAAAACTTGAACCCACCTTCTCTTTCCCCCTCTGCATCAGAAACACAGGAGACTCCTTCAAAACAGCCACCATCAGTATATACAGAACTGACATGAACAAATGCAGGTATACTATCAAATCATAATCCAAGTATCCTCCGAATATATACGATATCAGCACTCCCATAAAATATGAAGATACCACGGTAGACATTAAGGCTCCCCGAATGGAATCCTGTGATATTTCTGATATGTATATTGAAGATACTGTTTGTCCTGCTGTTCCTAAACCAGATAATGACATCGCTAGAAGCAGCATTGGTATCGATGTGGATACCGATATGATTGCCCATGAGAGCTGTGGAAGAGAGAATGAGGTGTATTAGAATATGGTAGAAGTAAGTATTGTGGTTGTCAGATTCTCAACCACAATACTTACTTCTGTAGTAATTGCAGTGTTAGTCATTGCAGTAATAATTATCAAAAAAAACTTACAACTGACAGCTACAATCTCTAAATGGTACAAGGATATGTCATCCCACAGTAAGGTATGTACGTTTTGTCTTAGCAAACTTAATATTTTAATTTAAAGGGATTTCTTTATTTCTGATTGGACAATCTATGAGATATCTTATTTAAGGAAATAATATATCAAAAACATGTATTCCATAAATTATTAGGTTTTCGGCTTACCCGCGTAATAATTTGACGAGGAACTCAGCTAGTTTCAATCCATACTAGAGGCTTTAAACTAGTCGAGGATATAGGCCTCTAGCATGGCTTGAAACTAGTCGAGTTCCTCGTCAAATTATTACGTCAGTAAGCCGAAAACATAATAATTTATTTAGTATATCTCACGTAAGTTACAATACAAAAACATGTATTGCAACACAATTTTCTAAAGTATTTGAAATTTCTATCCTACCAATAGCATCAAAAATACCAATGACAAAAGTGCCCTCACCACAAAAGGCAATCCGAATAGCATAGCACTATACTTCCGTCCGAGCCTGTTGACAATGTACCCAGAGAATGGTGTAGCAATCATGGCTCCTACATTGGTCAGGCTGCCCAGTAGTGACACGTCCACGGAAGACATAGGAGCTGATAGCACGGTGTCATTGGACATGAAGTTGGCCACATTGTAAGAAGGCCAAGAGAAGACCAGGCCGGTGAGGGTTGTGAGGTACGATACTGGAAAGTAGAGAAAAATTGTATTAAAATATTTGTTTTAGGAATTTTATATACAGAATTAGTTCGTTGCTGCCTCGTTAGCCGAGTGGTTGCAATTGTAATCACACTTGCAACCACTCGACAATCGCCGGGCAAGGGGTCTCGGGTTTGATTCTCGGGTCGAACAAAGTATTACTGGGTTTTTTCAAAAAAATCCCAATATTTTTTTTAATGTTAATTATGTTTATTATACTAATAATACTAAGGTTGCAGTGAATTTAAGAAACAGTCAATATTAGCACGGAGTCTAGATTTGTACCCGGTATAATTATGGCAATAGGCTCAGTCCCTATTACATGGGACTTATAACATAAATAGTGAATATTAGGCATTACATTGTACAGTAGCATTAAGTGTCGTTATGTGCACCTCTGCTTATCCCATCGGGGGTAAAAGGCGTGATGTTACGTTAATTAGATAATTTATAGAAAAAAAAATGCAGAATTGATATAAGCAACATAAGATTTGTTGTAATTTGGTTTTGAAAAGAAATTTTAACATGGACGCACCTAAGCTCGCCAAACTTCACAGTTTGATGACGAGAATATCTCATTTATTTATTTTCTACACCACTACAAAACTCAAATAAAATAATGTAATTACAAACTATATATACCTGCGCCTATTAGAAAAGTCAATGCAATTGTTGCTTAACAGATTGCTATGTCATCGATAACAGGAGTATAAATTTAATGAATTTACTAGTACAAAATGGCTTTACGCCAACCTTTCCCATTAATTTTATGAATTAAATACTATTGAGTCTTATCGTTTATTTTTCTTAAAACGGCTCAAAAGTGCCGTCGCCATTTTTACTTTTTTTCTATTTGCCTTTATTATTACTTCTGTCATACACTCAATACTGAAGTACACTAGAAATAGATAATATCGATAGGCGTTTAAATTTTCCCTGTAGATAACCTAATTTTACAGGGATTTCCCTCCCATTTTTTCTTTACTACAAGACAACCACAGATATATTAAAGATCTGTAAAGACAACAGAAGTTTTCCTTGTAAACATCCATTTTTGGTAGTAACGCCCTCTATGGAACTCAAAAGTTTGGACTTAAAACTGGTCTTTAGACCCCTTTAGCTATCTCTATGAGAACAAACCTATGCCGATAAGTACATGTCGCGGAGAACCTAACGGGTAACCGGGGCTCCGGCTCGACGTGCAGGAGAAGGAACGGGGTGGTTTTTAGTCAGTAAGAGTCTGACACTCCCTCCCGCCTCACCCAGGCGGGGGCAGTCATTCGATGATTTTCCCCCCTTAAAAAAAAAAAAAAAAAATGCCGATAAGTACATGTGTCTGCGCATTAGTCACAAGCACATGTTGTTTTCTCAGATAAATTAAATTCCTACGTCTCGTATCTTACGGGGCATAATCTTAGATACACCTAAAATTATTTGCATTCTTAATACTTATATTGGCTTTTCGTAATGCTATTATCATATAATTAGCCTGTTTTCATGTAACTCTGACGGAATTATAGCTGGGTAGTCCCCATGTTGGATTTAGGATAATGTGGTAAATAAAGATTTCGAAATTGAAAACCCAAAAATTCTTTGCAGACAGAAAAAGAATCATCCTTGTAGTTTCGATAGCAATGCACAAGATTGAAATAAAGTGGTACTGATGTTCAAAAGTTTGGTTTGATACGCATATGGTACTCAATTTTACGTTTGGGCCTTCTTAAGATTTGCAATGCAAAGTTAGTAGTCTTATATCAATGTCTGGATGTCCTATACATTATACAGTATTAACTTATAACATAAACAACAATGTAGGAAAAACTGTCTAGCTTTTATCAATTACAAAATACACTTAATGACACATATCACAAAGCACAAAATCGTTAATAGAGCAATTCAGATAAAATTGCGCTCTTCGGAAGTCTTCGAACGTGTTCCATCAGTATGAAGTAATTTAATATTGATGATGTCAACAAATGAAGTAATTTGCACGTTTTAGCGCTTGTGCTAGAGTCTATTATAGTATGATATATAACTTGAGTCTGGTCTGTAAAGTACACACGTCCATTATACTAGTTCATTAAGATATAAGTTAGACTTCTCATTATCAAGTTTATTGACACAATGTACTTTATAATTAAATCTTTTAAAGGGGTAGATAAACCTTTAGTACAATTTCTTTTTCTTATGCATCATCTTGATTATTATCCTCTTCTAGATTATATTTACTTGGTTTGGTCACACTTGGCGAAATGCGATTAAACAAGAATTCTTGAGTCAATCCAAAAACTCAACCCTAAAGTTTGTATTACGCAGTTTCTGTTCCGACGACTAAAGCTACCTAAACTATTCTTTTTCTAGGTGATTATGTGGTTTTTACATTTTGTCTAAATTATCTAATAAACTTACTGGTCAATTACACCCAATTTATTATATAATTATTTAAAGTTTTTAAATGTTATTAACATACTTTTTTGTAGATAAACCTTAAATGATCATTTTCTTTAATTAAGCTATGACTAATTAACAATTAGCAATTTGACAAAACTCAAATATTTTTTAAACACATTTGATTTAATTGATGACTCCTATTATGCTTATATTATTGTCATGTACTTAGATAGTCTTCACAATTCATAAAGCGTAATTAATAAGTACGCAGACTAAGTACTGCTACACTAATAAAAAAATCTAGTAACAAACACGAAATAAAATAAAATAAAAACTTACTTGCCAAAGTAGCCGTACCCTGGACCAAAAATCCTCTCACAGATACCCTATCACCATCCATTTTGCACTATCACAGTTAATCAAATGGCTTCACACAAGATATTACTGAATAATATAAAGAAGTTAGAGAAACCTTAAGCAAATACTATAATGCTTTATTGCACAGTAAATATAAGAGGGTTGGCGGCATACTTCGAGGTGATAAAAATATTATAATAGTTGTTACTTAAGCACTAAGCGACACTGTTCAGCGTTATCAGGAAAGGTTTTTATCAACTGTTAATGGGTGTTTTATAGGTGATGTATTTGTTGAGCGGGAATAAAGGGGTATTGTACGCGATGGAGATGACTGGTGGGATGTGAATTTTTATTGATAGGGATAAAATGTTGGGATTAATTCATATGGCACTTTGTCAAAAGGGAATATTAACTTTAGGATAGGTCATTATTGGAGGGTTGATTTCCAAATAGATTAAAGTTTATTGTCACTTAGTCCATTGACTTTGTCACTCATTTCAAAGCTAAGACTCTTCTTCAATCACTGCCTTAGCACATAACTCAAACAAATATTCAGTTTTTCAATAGAAAATAAATGACAAACTAATATTTTTTTAATCGAACACATTGTTTTTGCTACACATTTATAGCCTATAAAAACACTATTAGATAAATTCAATTCTCGCTATAAACAACTATAACTAAAAACGACTAATCTAGTTCTGCTTCGTAATGATATCTGTGCAGTAATCTACGTAATGTCAACCTAATTCTATGACGTGGGTCATTATCGAGATAAGCTATAGGATCGTCATATTTTTCAATGATTCCTTGAGCTTTTAGGTTGTAGACGTATCTGATAGTTCTAGTTATTTCTAGATTTATACTGTGGACAAATTAAATACGTCTGAAATGTGTACAACACCATCATCATTACATACTATGAAAAAAAAGCCATTGCCTTACACTAGGATTTTCTCCTGTGTCGTGGGTTCGTTTACAAACATACAAGTTCACATACACTTGACGTCGAGACCCAAAACAACAATTAGTGGATCACACAAAGAGTTTTTCCGTGCGGGAATCGACGGGAACTTTGTTTTTACTTTCACTACTACCATTTTAACTGTTTCAAAAACTTTTAGTCCACAACATGTTGTCTAAAATATTCACAAAACTTTTAAGGAAGCATCGGATTTCACATATCACTGGAGCATGTATCGTCACAAGAAAAACACATAAATTAAAAAAAATAGATTCATTCCCAATAAAGTAGTCCAATACAATTTATTTTCCTCATGGTCATGGTCAGTAGAGGGCTTCCCTGAAACGCCATTAATGAGGCCATTCATAGAAGCCATAATATGTTACATCATTATTTAGGACCTACCTTACAGTACATAGCAACGTCTATCTCTTCTAGGTTCTTTCTAAAGCTTTTGATATGATTAACTATAATATTATACAACTTTTTAAAATAAACTCAAATATCATTTTACATGTTAAAGTCTACATATTAAATTCCTTTAGACCTTTTTATTTGGTGGAACTATATATTTATTCTATCTACTGTTAAAATTAATTGCTAACAATAGAGTTACTCAAGGAGCTATTCTTGGTCCAAAAATTTTAGCCGACCAAAACAGGCAACTTACTTCAGTGTCAATTAAATACAACGTGTGACTTCGTAGTTTATTCATTTGAGAAATAGGAAAATAAACTTAGATTAAAGACTTAAAAGTCTTCTTTACAATAAACATATGCCCAGTTATCGTCAGTTATTTTATAACTCGAGAGAGATCCATTTTTAAGACATATTAAAAACGTTCAAGTTTTTTCTAATCTATTGTATTCCGTAAAAAAATCATCAATTCCATTTATTCTAAGACAGTCACAGAGCACTCCTCCCTACCAGATAACTTTACGATATCACAATAACGTGCTCATACTCGTAAATCTATGATCTATGTCTGCAAATAGAATGCTTTATTCTATTTGCAGACTCAAAGCAACTTAGATAATATAATAATTACGTTCAATCGATGAACTTGCTATTTTAAGTTCGTTTTATTGTCATGCGAATGCCCTTTCTATACAAAAGCACATGTCAAAAGACAGCTCACGCACATAGATCATCGATGAAAACAAATCAACTGATGATGTCACAAAATTTTATATCGCAATGTGTACATGTGAATAACGCGGATAGAAAATCCCAACGAACAGCAGAAAGCCCGCCAGGCACGAACGCCTCGCCTGGTCGGAGGATCCTCCTTTTCAGATATCAGGGAACACTACTATCTGTTTCTTAAATTTTGTTCACTTATGTGAAGCTTACAGAAAATAAGTAAGATTGGGTACAGATACAACCGGCCGGTTATTAAGGTACGCTCAAAAATAACATGTTCTATTAAACATGCTCGAAAATGTTCAAAAATCGAATCCCTGTCGATTCAGAAACATGCCTGAAATGAGCATTCTAATTTTGAGCAACATTCTGATACACGTGCTATACTAAGTGATAAGTGCTCCATTAAAGCATGCTTTCGTGCTTGATATTAGTACGTGTACTTTTTGTAGTGTACTTCTTGTAGTTTATACGATGCTGGTGATGAGAAGCAGAAGGATTTTAATGTTTGATTCAGAGAATTGGTATTGATCCAAGTGAGTTATGTTTTTTTCACGTAGGATCCACAAGACGAGGTTCTATGAAACATTAAAATGGGAGTCTGGATTAAACTATCGTGTGATAATGGCAGATTAAAAGACGTATTCCGTTATATAAACATTCGAAGTCTTCTTTATTCCTTAGATATTTAAAACTACAAGATTTCCCAATAACGATGTTGAAGCAAGTCTTGTTTGTTATGAGATTAAATGTTAGTTTGAGCGAATGATTCACCGACTGAGATTGTCTAATAAAATGATAATTTAATTAAACAACTTCAACAGCTTAGTACTTCAATATAACGAATTAGTATTTTATCATTTTACAACCTTTTCTACAATAAAAACTATTTTTAATAAGTCTAATAAAATAACAGATTTATTAAGGGCAATAAAAGTCATAAGATCTTTCAGAAACACTAAAAAAATCGGAAGGATAATTAAGAGAAACGCCGTGTCAATAAATAATAATAAAACAAAAACTAACAACAATAATAAATAACAATTTAATTCACTCTAAAAAAATAAACACACGAACAACCAACAACGATTGGTACCAACATTACCCACAACAAAAATGTCCAACACACTCTCATTTCTTAATACTCTGTCTTCTCTGTTTCAAGAAGAGAAGTTGAATGGCATCAGCTGATAATCCTTTAGTCTCTGGGACGCAGAACTGGCTGTAGATAGCCCCAGTGAAACAGACTACGGAGAAGAAGTAGAATACTGGTCCTAAGCCAACAGCTTCCACTAAGGGGTGGAAGATGACCAGCGTGAGGAAGTTGAAGATCCATGTGAACGCCATCACGACGCTGTTGCAGAAGCTTCTGACCTGGAATATGGAGAAGGTTGCCTATTGATTAAGCTGTACTGTACTGCAACTGCAACTGTATAAAACGTGTTGCTAATTTTGATGTTAAATTTGTAAATATAATTTAATTATTTCTCAGCCAAGTGTTTCGCACTTCGAGATTTTTAGCCATTCTGTTTCAGGATTCTTTTGAAATTCTGGATTTGACAGCGAGTCTGATTTGACTGAGTGCAAATATCTCCTGACCCGTTTTTCATATTTCTACAAAAATAGTTAAAGACTAGATTCGATATTTATTCGTAAAGTATCAGAAGAAATTGAATAGCTTTTCGTAAATGACCCCCTAATTCACAAAATATTGAAATGTATTGTTCTATTGAAATTTCCTTAAAATCTCTTAATCATTTTTGTATTTTGATTCATTTTTCAGCATTCGTCTCAGCCGTGGACATATTTGTGAGAATACACAGAACAGAACAAAAAGGAAAGGTAAGAAACAATACCAATCAATATAATAAAAACATCATACACTAACCTCTGGCAAGAACACTTCAGCTGTCAATACAAATGGTATGACAGCACATCCCAGGGTAAATATGAAGCTGAACCCGTATATAAGTAGCACGGTGAACCAGGCTGGAGCCCAGTGGAACTGCAACTGTGCTCCCAGCAGCACTGTGCAGATACCTGAGCCACTAGCGGTCACAATCAGGAGGAACTGGGGAGAACAGAAGAAGATAAATATGATGAGAAGTATATCTCACTAATATTAGGGATGTAAAAGTTTGTTAGTTTCCGGTATATGGCAATAGGATTATATTACATGGGATTCATAACATAAATGGTAAAAAGTGGGCGTTACATTGTACAGTGGTATTAAATGCCGTAATGTGCACCTACCCCTTCGGGGATAAAAGGCATGAAGTTATTTTATGTGGTAAAATGATTATTTAGACACCACTGACAAACGGTGAAAGAAAATATCGTGACGAAAACCAGACTTTCTAATTATGAATTCGAAATCGCCAACCCGTATTGAGCAAGCGTGGTGATTAATGTTTAAACCTTATCCGTGCAAAGAGGCTTTGCTCAGCAGTGGGCACTTATAGGCTGTTGATATTGTGTCTATGATGATGCGCTTACAACCTAGATAGGACGGTTGATAGAAAAAAACAAAAAACCGACTCGCAAACAACGCTTGCATTTTTTGTAAGGCCGTGGTATCCCTCCGGTCGAGCCGGCCCATTCGCGCCGAAACATGACTTTCCCACACTTACAGTATATAGATTTTAACTTTGAAAAGTATACAGACACGTAAATTAGTATATTCATATCAAAATTGAGTCTCACCTTTCTTCCAAATCTATCAATAGCGAGTACACATAGAACACTAGCTATTAAGAAGTCTAAAGCTAAGAAGATAGCACATTGATTGGACGGCATCGACGGAGCAGCTTCTTTGAACAGCGGCTCGGCATACACTTGGAGTACGACACAACCCATCATGATTGACAGAGCCATTATTATTAGCACCATCATCAGAGCACGCTTTGAAGATTTCGACTTTTCTGTGAAAGAAATAAGGTTTATTATAGCACGTTTTTACGTCAATAAGAAAATTTCCATTTATCAAAAACATTGTGGTATGAAAACTTCAAGATCTTGCTTGACAACCGCTCTTCTTGGTTGGACTACATAACTGCTTTTTGGAAGGCAAGTAATTGAACAGGATTTGGACAAACTACAGACAAACATCGGGCACGATTTTATGACAAAACAATTTAAGTAGGTATTTGTCGATGACAAATGTTTGAACCCAAGTCCTAAATACCCAATAGGCGCAGTTGCAGCCACAATTGATTCTATTAAAGTTATTATAACCCAGACAGCACACTATGTCACCTCTTCCATATAAATTCTCTAGTAAACGTAACGTATTGAATCAAAAGGTTGCGCATTACTACATACTTCTTATAAAAAAATCCACAAAATGTCTTCATACAATAATAGTCTTTAAACATATTAAATAAGGTCTATAATGTAGGAGTGGTACAAAGGGACTTACTGAAATGTTTCCATGCTGTCTCGCTCTTTCTTTCCTGTGGAGCTCCTAATTTCTTTTCTACCAACTCTCCCAGAGTCTCTGGATCTGAAATTAATATAATGTTCAAAATATTAAAACATTAATTTTCTC